TGTATCAAGCATTAATAGAATCCATAATTAATTATAGTATTTGTATATGGGGAGTTACGTATGATGGTTACTATGGATCCATTAAAAAAAATCCAAAACAAGATACTAAAAATTATTCTAAAAAAAGACTCCAGATACCACTCAAAATATTTATATAATAACATGAATGTACTACCAATAAAAAAATTGTTTTATAAAGCATTGGTACTTGACATAACTAAAAATAACCTTACTTTTAAAATTGAACACGGACTCAAAACTAGGCAAATATCTAATATCAAAGTACTTTAACTATGCTAAAAAAATTAACAATATACCATCAATAGAAATAAAACACAGCAACTCTTTTATGATTCTTAAAATAAATAATTACACTTTGGCTATTACAAGAACAAAATATAGACAGACTCATAACAAACGTATATAATTACTGCATTATTTATCATATTAGTTGTACGACTTTAGAAATTATTGTTAGTTTAAGTTTTATATTACCATATTATATTGTATTATTTAACTACACAATTTTTTAAATAATACTATATTATATAAACAAAGAGAAGAAAATATATATTATTTATATTATTAATATTATAGTTAGGTATGTGAGAAATATATATTACAAATTGTAAATATTTAATTTATAAGAACTATATTTTAATGTATTTATATTTCAAATTGTGAACTCATGGGCCCCCCACGTACATGTTCAGTGGGGCCCATTATATTCTTGAAGAATAAATTAAAATTGAATTTAAAAAAAAAATACCTGTGAGTAGTAATAGAAATATTAAAAAAACAAAATTATATGAAAAATAAATGAAAAAAATATGAAAATAATATATTTTGATTACAAACCCAAAAAAATTGATCTCTTAGCATTTTTAATGCAAACGTATTAATAATAAATATGTATTAACAAATAAATAAATTAATATTCTGAAATGAAAAATGATTATAATTGTAATTTGTGCAATTTGTAAATTTTAATGATTTTTTTGTATACATTTTTGTAAGTACCAGATTGTAATTTGTAATTTGAAAAAAGTTGTAAATAATGGCTTTCTAAGGAAGCTGTTCTAAAATATAGTTCAAACAACATTTTTAAACCCACTAGTCAAATAACATAATTTAAGTAACATCAGAATATGATGAGAGAGAAGGTCCTAAGCTTATAAGGTTAAGGAAAATATTGTTTGAGTATAATAATTTTCAACGAACAGTAATGACTCTTTCGAAAATTTGGAGGTACGCAGATTATGTACGTGGATAAATTTCTTTGAAAAAAGGTTTCTATTGTTCGTAAATTGTGAGCAAATGAGTTGTAAAAAGGGTAAATGTGCGCAAATGAGTTGTAGCCCTCAATTGTTCTCCCCCTTAACGGACTAAATGTGGCCCTGTATACTATTAAAATAAATACAAAAAATGCTTTATGTTTATTAAACAAATGTGCGAAAATAATATTGCATATATGATATATTATATTTACAAAATCTATTTAATATTATCTCACTTACTTGGTTTAGGTACCTAGCTAGTAGCTCACCTTGGCTGAGCTGTCCATACTCCTTGACTTACGTCCAGTGTCGAGTGATATCTAGATACAAATTAATAACATATATTTTATATAGATTAATAAATAAACTAGTTTCTAATTTATGTCTAAGATTTAAATAATTAAAATCTACAAAAATATCCAGATTAATCTCATTGTGTAATGCACTTGTATTTTTGTCAATGATCATTTACTAGTTCAGTCTTATTTTGCATTAAATATAATATTACCACAGTACTTGCTATCAATATATTACAGGTATATGAGTAAAAATTAATAATAACATTAATAGCTGGGCTGTATCACAATAATCACTTGAATTATTAACATCCAGAATAAACCGTTTAGGGGATGAGACACATGAAATGTTACAAAATAATTGCAAGTCAAAAAATGAAACAAGCATGAATCATCATAATATTTTTGTTCAACAGTCTTATTAGTTTGATAAGTAAATACGACGGGGTATGATATGAAATCATTGTATCCAATACGAAAAACAATTCTGAGCTAAGACGGTCTGTCAGCCAATAATATTATTAAGGGTACTTATATTTGTTGATATTATTCAATTGATTAAAGTGCCAAACTTATTTTACTAGGTCTAAGGCATTAATGAATTAGTACAACAACAGGTTAAATTCATTTTTGGCAAAAAAATTACATTGGAAAATGTCATTGTGTGCATAAAATATAATAATGTACCCTAACAGTTTCATATACCTACGAATAATATTTTTAAATTAGGTACAACTAAAATCGTAATTCTGGGTTTTAAAATGTAATTCCGTTTAAATTTTAACTTATATAAAAGTTACTAAAATCACTAAAATTTAACTTGAAATATCCGTAAAAAACAACTAGGTTTATATTTTTTTAGATTTTTGGTTTCAATATGAACTATTTATCAGAATTCTATAACGTTAGATACAAATCTAGATAAAAAAAAGTATTTTCTACACAATATTTGTCTAGAGAAATTTAATTATTCTATCCTCATATCAATCTATATATATTTATTGAGTTAAATATAATCTAATATAATAATAATATTATCTAGATATTATTTTTATTATATGGAATCGACACTGCTTAATGAAAACATGCTAAAACACGCCAACTCAAAAACTTTTCGATATTATTGTTTAAAATGTATTAATCATTGAGGTACATACAACTATTTTGGATCCGTATTCTGATGAAAAAAAACTTTTGATTGTGGAAAGCTGCTTTCATTGTTGATTTGTTGATCTTTGAATTTAAAACTCTGTAATGGTTTTATATTGAAAATAAAATGAACAATAAATCCTTCACAAACTAAAAGATGGAAAGATAAAATCAATTTTAAATAATAAGAAATTACAAATTAAAACAGCAATCGGAAAAATAGAAATAAAATTCGTGAAAGTAAAAACTGATGTACTTATATAGTTTAAAAGGTTTTGAAACAAGACTGAAACAATATAAATATTAATAATAAATAAACAGTGAAAATAGGTTGGTTTCCAGACACATTATTTGGCCAGCATAGTTACTTATTATAATATAACATAAGAATAAAATGTTTTTTAACGTTTTAAATTATGTTTGTAGCCAACACTCAATAATAATAATTAATATTATGTAACTACGTGTAGGTAAACATACATTATAGCTAGTGCCGTCCTAAATTCCAGGTAAATAAAAAATTCGTGTGCCCTAAAATTATAGATTAATTTAGTGAGGGTGTCAATATTGTCACTGTTATTTTATTATTGAAATTATAGAAATACGTTAAATATGTTAAAATAAGAGTTAATAATTTTGTATGCCTACCAGGTACGTGGGCTACATATTAATATTATATTTTATACACAAAATTACATTTTCAAATGGTTAAATATTCGGTAAAATTGCTATGTATAGATGCACAATAAACTGTATTACATATTTATAATAAATTTCCTCTGTCGTGTAATACAGTTTTATTTAATATTATATTATAAAAGCATAGATTTAATTAGTTATGATGGTCATAAACAATGTATAGGTACAATGTT